GGGGAAGAGAAGGGGGAGAGGAAGGGATAGGGGGAAGAGAAGAGGGAGAGGAAAGGATAGGGGAAAGAAAAGGGAGAGAGGAAGGGATAGGGGGAAGGGAAGGGGGAGAGGGAGAATGAATGATGAATGAATGAGAGTAGAGAGCGAGCGAGAAAGAGTGACATAGAAAGATATATATATAAAGAGAGAAGGAGAGGAGAGAAGGGGAGGAAAGAAGGAAGATGGGAGAGAGAAAGATGTGGAGAATGAGGAAGCAAGGAAGGGGCAGAGAGGGAGAGCATGAGAGAGAGAGAGAGAGAGAGAGAGAGAGAGAGAGAGAGAAAGAGAGTAATTATCTTCAGCTAACCAATACATCCCAACGCCGCGCAAACGCACAGATAGTAAATAACGGACGCAGCGGTGGGCACTGGCGTGACACGACAAATCAGTAACAATTTCAACGTGATCGCTAAAAACTGATCTGGCTAAATAAATACGAAATCTATTTAGCTACCAAAGTCCTAATGTTTCTCTACTCCTCGCTTTCACCTATTAATACTTACTCCTATAACACCGTTACTCGCTTCTTCAGCCTCCTTCACGGCAAAACACAAGCAAACCGGCACGCATGCTGCTGCGTAGCTCTAGTACGTATTATGCCCGCGTACAGTTGCCGTCTAGCTGCTGCGCTGCTGCACGCTGCACACTTACACATAAATATAGATTTATTTATTTTTTATTATTATAATTATAATTATTATTTTTATGTGTAAGTGTGCAGCGTGCAGCAGCGCAGGGCAGCAGAGGCAACTGTACGTGGCGGTTTGGGCTGATTGTGTTTGGTGAAGGAGGTGAAGAAGACGTAAGGTGTAATAGGAGTAGGTATAAATAGTGAAGAGAGTAGAGAAGACATTAAGTACTTTGGTAGTAAATAGATTTCGTATTTATTTAGCATTATATTTTATTGAAACGCACGAAGTGCCTGTGATCTCACGCGTGAATACACCCACACAGCAAATTGCCACTTGTAGTAAATCCCCGGTCGCCGCGGTAGCGATGACAGTAGGAAGGATAGGCAGCGCGGTGAGTACTAGGTCACCACTGTACATGCCAGGAACTCATCCCCCTGCTTCTCTTCCTTCATCACCAGTGAACACATCCTAACGCTTACACTAACGCTGGGAGAGCGGTGGGTGAAGGAGGTAAGCGCTGGGGAGAGCGTGGGTGAAGGAGGTAACGCTGGGGAGAGCGGTGGTGAGGGAGGTAAGCGCTGGGAGAGCGTGGGGTGAAGGGAGTTACGGCTGGGGGAGAGCGGTGGAGTGAGGGAAGGTAAACGCTGGGGAGAAGCGTGGGTGAAGGAGATAACGCTAGGGGGGAGAGCGGTGGTGAAGGGAGGTAACGCTAGGGGAGAGCGGTGGTGAGGGAGGTAACGCTGGGGGAGAGCGGTGAGTGGGGAGGTAACGCTGGGGAGGAGCGGTGGGGAGGGAGTACGCTGGGGAGAGCGTGGGGGNGAGAGAGAGAGAGAAAATGAGCAACACACACACAGAGACAGAGCAAGAGAGAAAGAAAGAAAGAAACGGAGAAGTGAGAATTAAGGTTAATTAATTCAATTTTTAAATTTCCATGTGGATATGCATATTACCTCTACCTCTCCTTCTCCCTATACCTCTCTCTTCCTCTCCCTACTCCATATCCTTATCTACCTCGTTATTTCTTTCTTTCTTTCTCTCTCGCTCTCTCTCTCTCTCTCTCTTCCCGTTCCCTCTTATTCCATTTTCGTCTTTATTCTCTCTCCTTCCACCACCTCTTTTTGATCCCACATCTTCCCTTTCGGCTAAAACTCCGCCAGGCACAAAATGTGAATTTACGCCTGTAATACATAATTATAATAGGTACATTTCAGCAAAGAATTTACGGGGATTCGAACACAGGTTTTATAGATTGCAGTCTAGCGATCTCGTTCTCCTAGAAGCCCGTCATTTTACATTGATACATACATAGTTCATTACGGACGTGACAATTCCTCACCCTATCTCTTCTCTCTCTCTCTCCCCAGTGTGTGTGTGTGTGTGTGTGTGTGTGTGTGTGTGTGTGTGTGTGTGTGTGTGTGTGTGTGTGTGTGTGTGTGTGTGTGTGTGTGTGTGTGTGTGTGTGTGTGTGTGTGTGTGTGTGTGTGTGTGTGTGTGTGTGTGTGTGTGTGTGTGTNAGTGGGTAACGCTGGGGAGAGCGTGTTGGGTGTGAGTGGGTAACGCTGGGAGAGAGCGTGTTGGGTGTGAGTGGGTAACGCTGAGGGAGAGCGTGTTGGGTGTGAGTGGGTAACGCTTAGGGAGAGAGTGTTGGGTGTGAGTGGGTAACGCTGGGGGAGAGCGTGTTGGGTGTGAGTGGGTAACGCTGGGGGAGAGCGTGTTGGGTGGGAGTGGGTAACGCTGGGGGAGAGAGTGTGTTGGGTGTGAGTGGGTAACGCTGGGGGAGAGCGTGTTGGGTGTGAGTGGGTAACGCTGGGGGAGAGTGTTGGGAGTGAGTGGGTAACGCTGGGGGAGAGTGTTGGGAGTGAGTGGGTAACGCTGGGGGAGAGCGTGTTGGGTGTGAGTGGGTAACGCTGGGGGAGAGCGTGTTGAGTGTGAGTGGGTAACGCTGGGGGAGAGCGTGTTGGGTGTGAGTGGGTAACGCTGGGGAGAGCGTGTTGGGTGTGAGTGGGTAACGCTGGGGGAGAGCGTGTTGGGTGTGAGTGGGTAACGCTGGGGGAGAGCGTGTTGGGTGTGAGTGGGTAACGCTGGGGGAGAGCGTGTTGGGTGTGAGTGGGT